CATTTTTGCAAATCCTTCTCAGTTTCCAGATTCAGCAGCACTAGATCTACAATAGAAATTGGTTCTAAAAAGCCTTTTAAAAGGACTTGTTGGGATGGCCAAAAGTACAACTTTATAAAAATCACTAGTTGCCTTATCCTGCTTCCTTTTAGCCCAGTGACTTGAGTCCTTTCCCTGAACTGGAACACATGCATATACACACAAAGTAGGCATGCACATTTTACAGCAACACGGATGTCTACATAAATCTATAATTAATCTATACCCCTCTATCAATCCCAAGATGGACACAAAGGCTTAGGAGAGGGCTCATGTAAGTCAGAGTTCTTATTGCTTCAACAGAGGCAAACTCTAGTGAACTTAACAGAAACCGTATTCCTTGTAAGAAAAATCAAGCCTCTCCCAAAATCAATTAGATTAAAAGGAAAGTTCTGAGCCTAAGACTGCAGCCACTGGAGTTACCAGTTCCTGGACCTCCTCACAATCCCTGCTGAGGTTCAAGACCCAAGACCCCATCACCACTTCTGTCCCCGATGGTCAGGCACTAAAGGACACACAAATGACAGGAATCCTCTTTGTCCTCTCTGGGCTCCAAGTCCTAGCCAGCAACATTAGATTGGTAAGCTTGGGCTACGCCTGCATCCTAGCTGCCCAAGATGGCAGGCAATAAGAATCTGGCCTTTGGGGCTTTCTGTGCTGGAGCTGACCACTCACCTCCCCACAAGAGCCCAACAAAAGTGGCTCTCGCAGCCCGCTAGGAAGAGGCTTCCTCCAAAAGCAGTGGCTTTGCCATATAAGTGACAACTGTGTTCTGAGGCACTTATGTACTGTGAAGCATTTATACATGGTTTTTCAAGTAAAAAGTATGACATGAAATTTATCAGCAGAGGGCCGGGGATTTAGCTCAGTGGTTTCGCCACCTGCTGTGCAAGTGCAAGGACCCGAGTTCGATCCCCGGTACCAAAAAAAAAAAAAACAACAACCAAATTTATTAGCAGAAAAGATCAAAGATTATATTTTTAAAAGAATATAATGTTTAAGGAAATGGTCTTCTAGAAAAGAATAGTAAAATATTAAAATTCCAGGCTGTAACCAAGTATATGCCAATTTTTATTTCAAATTCAAATATTAGAAGTTATCTGACAGGGCAAAAAGTAGGCCAGAATTATACAGATTAGGCTCTCTCTGCAGACACTCAACATAGCATATCCAAGGCTTAAATAAAAGCTGAGTATATCTGTTTAACACCAAATTCTGAGTAGAGCTCAGCCTCTTAGTAGTGAAAGAAAGGGTTTCCACATTTTTGGGAAGCAAGACCCATAAAGGAAGGGCATCTAATTTCTCGTAATTACCCTGGTACCTTACAGTCCATAATTACAGAGAGCATCATGCCCTGAACTGGCCTTCAGTTTGTTCCAAACTCAGCGCATGTAATTAGCTTTGATTAATATCCCACATTTCACATCAACAGAAACAGTGAATCCAAATGATCCCCGTGTTCCGCTGCCTCGGGAAACTTCACTGTTCCAATTCTGTGCCTTTATCAAGGGTACACGCTAAGCAAATGGGATCAAATGCAGCCTTGGCACCCACCTTGGTGTAACTATTCAGAGGGAAGCAGCAATGCCTTTCATGTAATCATCTTAATCCCTTGTATCAACTAATTAACACAGAGAAAGCTTTTACTTGCATGTGAGCAATTATAGCAAGTTCCTGGTCGGTGTCCAAATGGATTCACAATATAATTCATGAACAGTGAGACGCTGGGAAAGACAGTTTCTAAAGATGACTTTTAAAATGAAAAAGGGTTGGAAGGGCAGGCATTAAATGATTCTGTTAATAGCAGGAAGAGAAGATAGGAAATAAATGTCAGTTTCTCAAACAAATTCAATTTTGGAACTCTATTTTGCACATGATTGGCTTAAACAGGCCCATTTATGTGAGCAAAATAAGAACCCATTGATAACCAGAGTTATGATTCTACATCCTGAGACAGCTGTGACTCAAGAGATACTTCTAAGGGGCTGGAAAAACAAAGAAACCTGATGTCCTTAAATAACTGCTCTCTGCTAAAAACAAACCAAAATAAACCCACTGCACCCAGGTTTTGGAAAGACATCTGAAATCTTAGCTCAGTGACTTTACATTTCTCTGGAGGACGGGGCTGCTGGAGGATCTCTCTCTCCCTCGCTCTCTCCCTCTCTCTCTCTCTCTCTCATTTTTTACCAGGAGACAGCACATTCCTATTTGCAGCTGCCTGAGAACTAATGCAACAGTTGGGAGCCTAGGGCAGCAAGGGTGAGGTTAGTAGGGAGAGGGCTCAGGGGCCTGCGGCAAAGGACATCCGAAGCAGCAGTACCTGCTGCGGGCTTTTGTTCTGGTGTCTGCTCCAGCCGGAGTGGGAACCACTCCAGCGTCGGGGCAGCTTGTAATCCAGCACGGGGCAGAGAGCACAGGAACCTACTGGCTCAGGCGTTCAAGAGGCGCTTTCCGCCCTACAGCACCGCAGGCATTGTGGTCAACAGCCCCGCTGGGTGAACTTTTCCTGCACAGATGGCTCGCGGTCTGGGGAAAGCATTATCTTGCAAAGTCCAGTCAACAAGTTCAGGAGACCCAGATTTCAAGAAACAAAACGCTTCCTCAGACCACTCCCCGCCCGCCAGACTGTGCTGAAGCTGCGTGAACGCGGCCAAAGGGAGTCCTCCTTGCTTAAAGAACAAAATGCTAATCACCCAGGTTGGATCCAGGCAGCCTGAAAGACTGCACTCAGCCGGCGTGGGAACCAGAGCTCCCCTCCCGGCTAGAAGCTAAAGAATGCACAGTCACGGACTCTCGAGTCCGGGTCCCACCTTGCAGCCTAACCCTAACCCACGGCAGGACCGTGGGGGCTGTCGCCGAGAGAAGCAGGCTCTGCGCCCGTGCTGCGCTAGGAAACAGGTTTTTCCTTTCCCAGAGAGGCATTCCTTTGTGGCTAGGTCATGTAAAACAGCAAAACGCTCCCTGAATACACTGAGTCCTCTTCCCCGCAGGTGACTGTGCCCTTCAACTTGACCTGTGATACAAGGAGAAGGAAATAAAACCACTGTCTTATTTCTAAGAAAAAGGTGACCAGACCGAAGCTCCGGCCAGGCAGAGCCCACACTGTGAACAACAAAAAGAAATTGAAAACAGCAATGCGGACAAAACAGTCATCCGGGTGTGGCTCGGCGTCTGCGAAGGCAAAATGAAATGTTTCTGGAGTCGTATCTTGAGCCAAACTGAATAATAAGGACAGGATGGCAGAGGACCTGAGGTGAGTTGCTGTAGCATGGAATCTGTTCTCATCTGGCAAGGGCACCCCCTGCTGGCCGCCACGCTGAACTCCGCCTCCGCTGATAACTGCCTAAAACTGGGGAGAAGCAGAGCTCTGGCAGGCAGGTCTCTGGGAAAGCGCTTCACGCGTGAGACGCCAGCCTTCCAGTCGCCGCCCAAACCGTAGTCACGGCTCTCTGCAGTCAGATACACTACGAGCAGGCCGGCAAAGACTGCAGGTGAGAAGTTACGAAGATGGGGAAGAGGTGACCGGCCATTAAAAAAAAAATTAAATTACATATACTGTGCTTGATCACTGGAGAAAATCTAGAGGACCCTTTGAAATACTAGAGTTTGTCATGACAGTCTTCACAGTAATGAAGTCCTTAGCGCACACCGCAACACAGGATTAAAATCCTTCAAACGTCGGGCTACGATTTATTGTTACCAAATACGACTAAATTCAGGATGCATTCCGTTCTTTTTCACATGAGCTATGACACCACGCACACATATTTTCATATTCTTTCCCAAGTTACCATTCCCTTTCTTTTTTTTTACCTAGTGGTTTCTCACTTCTTTTGCTGCTAGGCTCTTAAAATGAAGCTGTTGTATACCATGAACCCACCATCCCTCTGATGATTCCCTTCATAAGCACAGCGTGCTGTCTTCAGCAGAAAACCCTACAGAAAGTGAGACTTGTATGTAGACTCACTCCCATCATCACCCAGTGGAGACACTTAGGGAAAACTGCCAGTGCCTTCTGCTGGGCACCATTCATTAAGTCAAGCAAAAAGCAACCTGTCTGTAAAGGCACAGTGGATCTCTCCCCTGCTAGCACAAATGTCACACTTGAGTATCTTCAGCTCGCGTTATCTGCCCATAGTCTCGGTGAGTTCACCGGTTCAGGCTGAACTTGACTTCTCCCTGGGACCTCAATCTCATGTCTGTTCCTAGCTCTCAACTTCAAACACAGGGGACAGAGGAGGCAAGGCATCTGGCGTGAGCAGAGAAATATTATGGGCAAAACAAACATGCTTCATCTCCTTTGGGTCACTGGGTCTGGTTTTCATTTTCTGGTTTACATATGAAACCAGGGGAGTAAGAAGCAGCACTGGGGGAACATAGGCCCCACTGACAAATGCTCTCATTTCAGAATTTTAAAAAGATTTTCCAAATACTGGAAATCTCCTGTGCTGGGCTTTTTTTTCTATTAATTCTGTTTGCTGGAATTTTAAAGTTTCATTTCTCCATATTCCAAATGACTGTCTAGATAAAATAAGGGTCGTTCTTTTATTTGTTCAATGAATATTTACTAAATGTTAGAAGTGTTTTGGCCACATGGCCTATGTGGACAACAGATAATACAAGCACGGCTTTTATTCACTTCTTTTAGCTTTTACTGCACGGATCTGTCCGCAGGAATAATGTGATTATTTGTGTTTCCATGCTGTGGTGTAGAGTGCAACCTTTACCTATCAAAAGACCTGAGAGTAAGTATGTGTGTCTCTTTATTTACAATGGGGGGAGAGCAGAACAGTTTTAGAATCAATCTGTACCAGTTTGGGGAATAAGCTTCTGATTTGAATAGAGCTGTCAAGACATTCACAATCTGTTTGGCCCTGTGTCCACAGAAGGCTAAAGATTTCATAATAAAAAAGTAAAGGACTTTTATTCATTACCACTCATGTAGCAGGTGCCCAGTAAGACTTGGGGTGATTTTAGTTTTTCTGCATACTCTAAAGCATTAAACTGCACATCTATATTTATACTTACATGCACATATGTACAGAATAATCTGTGAGAAAAACAGACTTTTTCTTACTACTACTTTATTTTAAGTAGGGGGATAAGTATAATAGCTATCAACTGGCTTTCTTCTTGAATTGAAGTAGTCAAACTATTCAAGAAAGTCAAATGGAAAGGGTTGTTTGGGCAACTCAGGATTTTTACTCATGGCTTCAAACATCACTAAAAGGTAACCAATATGTGAGCATAAGAAAAAGTCCTTTATGAATGAAAACCTCATTTTAGATACACAATGTCTTTCTCTCAGATTGTAACAATTCTCAGAGTCTTCTCCTGCAAAAAAAAAAAAAAAATCAATAAATAAGCCCTGACTGATACCCCTCAGATTAAACTCAATATGCCATTAATATGAAAAGAATTTGACAGTTTACATAAGGGATGTGACCCAATGCCAACAACCTCTGGCTTCTCCATTCTCCAGATGGTAGCAGATTAGTAGGCTGCTTTTATTCTCATAAGGAGATTTTTTCCCCCCCGTGGAAAAACTATAAAGGCCAATTCTGTTCCAAACTTCAAGTCTCCTTCACAAATGTCTACTCAATTCTAGGCCTTAACTAATGCCTATTAAAAGAAGCCCTTGGGCTTGAATCTATGGAAGGGGAGAAAAAAGACTAAGGCAAACTTAACTCTAATGCCTGCCTTTAAAAGATCTATTGACAGAAGCAGTGGGGAGAGTTTGAACTAATGTTAACTTAAAGAAAAAGGCTGGTGAGATTCAATTGTGGATGTGAATGCTTGCTTGAGTTTGATCTTGATGGGGCTTAAGATAAGGAAGATAAAAACCTAAGCCTACTTACATATTAAAAAATGCAGTCGCACTAAATTCACTACATACCACTGTTCTCAATTTGATTTATGCCTATCATCACAGAAGACATTGAAGGACACCCCTGTCTAATATGGTAAAAAGCCACAGCAGAGGACACTTACTCTGTTCTACTAATGCTAACATGAAAATCATGTCCTGACAACACACAACATTCTTTCACATTAAATCTTTAACTATAACATAGAAGAAAAAGGGAACCTTTCTTTGGTCCTGATCTGGAGGTATAAATATAACAAGTAGTTACTCAAAGAGATCCAAGAGATGAAAACCACCTTTACTAAGCAAGAGATTCTTTTCCCAACAGATAGGAAGTAGTCTCTAAATAACTGGGGAAAATATTATACATTATAAACAGACTGACCCAGCTAAAACTTTAAGAACATTTAAGTACACTTAAAATCCAGAAAGCTAAGCAGACACCTTCCCAAAATGGGTCGTTTTGTCGTCACCAGGGCATAGTCCATGTATTCCAAAAAAAGAAATTACATTCTTGGAAAGGAAAAACATTTTTTTCAAATCATATGAAGAACATAAAGACTTTTTAAAGACCAATTTGTTTGTAAAATATGTTAGATATACTTGCTATACAGTTTTTAAGATTTCTATTAAAATTTTCACAAAGGTGAAATTTTTCCCGGATAGTTTTTATTTTCAAGCATGTTAGTCTTGATGGATGAGATCCTAAAAATGATAAAATAACCTACTGTAGAACTACCAGGCACAATGAAAACAAGTAGTGGATAGCACATGATCCCTACCCTAAAGGAATTTATATCCCAATAGTAAAACTGGACCCCAAAAATGAAAAATTTTAGTAAAGATTCAAGACACTAGAAGAAGAGAATTATAAAGAAAAGGACAATGTCTGGATGTCTACCTATTTAGTTTGACCTATTTGTACCAGTTTCCAAAATCATTTAGTTGAAAGAACTTCAGTAATTGCTAATAGCAAATATACTTAGAGGTCCCCAGAAATAAAAGTTTTCATGGAAACCTCAAAGGCAATAAAAAGGAAAGGCAGGATTTATTTAATTTCTTTTCTGCAAAGTGCCTCATTTCCTAGAGGAGGAAATGCTGGGCAAACAGTAACTTAAACACCCAAATATGCCGTTAATGGTAACAGCCCAGAACTCACCTAAGCAAAAAAAGCCTAGTTCTCTAAATGCATCAGCATAGTTTCCTTGTCTTCTACTCTCACTGCAGTGTTCTCAAAGAAACTGTCCATTTCTACTATCATTATCACACTCATTTTAAGTGAGAAAAGTTGCGTCCAGTAAGGAACTATCCCCCAATCCAATAACTGGGACCATCATGGCAATCAGATAACAAGTTCAGGAAAGGATTTAAGGAAATGAGCTAATAACATGACTGCAAACAAGCAGATTATCTCTGATTGCTACAAAGAATGCTATTAGGGGGCACCATGTTTTCAAGTGATCGTTTTTCCAGCCTGTTGAAGAAAGGTTAATCGGTAGACCTATTCATAAAATCAATTTTGAAACATGCAAAATACAAAAGAACTGCATTTTAAAATCCATCTTCAAGAACTATGTTGACATTTCTTTAAATTGTCTTAGAACTAATTTAGATTTTTTTTCTGAACTTAAATCTACCCATTTATATAAAAGGGTTATATGTATAACTTTATCAATTAATACTCTGTTACTCAGCAATTTGAGTGGAAAATACATTAGTTGGTTATAAATATAAAGTAAAGCTGCTAACACCCCAATTCTTTAGTTCAGGGTGATGAGCGAATACTTACAGAGAAGCTTGTCTTACTGTTACTTAACTTTCCAAATACTAAGCCCTCTTCCTTTAGCGTCTCAGGAGTACAGCTGCTAAGTTGTACAATGCTAAGGTATGATTAAAACCTTTCTGTAATCCACACTCTTGACAGTTAAGTTGTTCCACACACAAACTCCCCTCGTCCCATAAAAGTTAACATTCCAGGGTTATCTTCAGTCCAGAACACAGAAATCTGTTACAACTTGCCTACCTCTCTTGGCTTTCATCAGAGAATTTGCCTGCATAGTAAGTATCTATATTTCACTCTTCATTTGAAAAGATCTAGTGGCGAATTGCACCCATTTTTCACTGTTGGCTGGCAGTAGATCAGATTGTGAACTGTAAATCAGAATACCTTTCACCTGCAAAAGGACTAACATAAATGCCAATACAAATTTCCTCAGACCCTGAGGAGCTTTTCGCAGGCACTCTGGCCACCTGGTCACCCTGAAACAAGTCGATTATGAACATAAAATCCAAACCTTGCTTGAGAAAGTAGCCTGGGAAAATGGGAAATTTGCCATTCCCAGATGAAGTCAGTTTCTCAGCTGGGCTGTTGTATCTATGAACAACATTTCAAAGTTTCTATGAAATCTAAATATCAGATATTACTGCAGGCCAAAAAAGAAGTCCTATGTGCCCTTTCTAATTTAGAAAATTCAGAGAAAGTTTCTGATGGGGGTTAGATCCAAAAGGCACACAGAAACAGGGGGAAATTTCAGGATGCCCCTTCGAGCTGGATTACATCCAAGACCCACTTATCTGAGATAGAATTAGACCAAATGTCAAGAGGAAAGAATGGACAGGCTTACCCCTTCGTGCTTCAGGAAGAGCTAGTCTTAGTGTTTTGCTGACATTTTAAGTATAAAAGAGTCTTATTGTAAACTCTGGACCCCTAGAAGGCTGGCTTCCACAGAATGCTGAAAAGAGAGATTAGATGGGGTGGCCTCAGCATCGGATTCCACCCTTCAATCACGTTAGACACAGAGCTTTAGCCACTTTTTTGCTTAAAGTCATGCATGTGGTCAAAAGTTTAATTATATCACCTGCTGCATCAGCAAGCATATTGTCTGCCCTCCACAGGAGGAATAAAATCTTTTTGGAATGCTGGGGTTCAGCATCACTGGGGAAGATTTCCTGAAATCTTGGGTTATGCCTGACAGTTGATATTTTTTTCCTTAACAGATCAAAGAACACAGGCTGGATCCTGATAAGGTTCTCAAAGGTTTCTCTCAAATTCTAAAATTGGTGAGGCCTCTAGTCTCCCTCCAAATAGCTGAGTTATGAATGGACTGAACCTACACATGATCAAATTGGCACTTTTGACATAACTGACTAGTTCTTTGCCAACCAGTCATTCCATCAGTCATTCACAAAGAATTTATTAAATGCTTAGGTGTTGAAAAGATGCAAAACAGTGCCCCTCCTAGAGAAGTTTGCAATCTCAACCAGGCAGAACAGCAACTAATTAAACTAGTTATGAGTCAATCAGACAAGTTATGCACGTAGACCAGGCCAAATCCGTGAAGTCTAAAGTAACCGCGAGTTTCATTTTGAAAGTTGAGAATTGTTGATTATAATCAGTTTTCGGTTGAGGATTTAAGGGGTACAAGGCAAGGAGAAGCTGCCCTGGAGACCAGTTTCCAACCCAGAGAGGCACAAGAGGGGCCCAATATCAGCTGCCAGGTCTAATCAGCAGAAGAAAGAAAAGAAGTAAGGAACTATTCCAGACATTTCTATAAATAATTTTCAGTATGAACATGAGAATTTTAATATATGTCAAAGAGCAGTACAAAAAGTATATAATAAAATGGCATAAGTTAGACTAATCAAATAAGAATCACCCTAAAAAATACAGTTAAGAATATCTGACCAGCTAATACTACTGGTGACAATTTTTGTTCTTTCCAAATACATACTTCCGCCCATGTACATCTGATGAGTAAAATTCTTTCTTTGGGGAAAAAGATATAACAGCAACATGATTCACTAGAGCAAAAGACCCTTCCCTGAAGCTGACCGTGAGTATGGGATGATACAAGCCAACTTCAGTATTGGGCATGGAAGGCTCAGTACCCAGGGTTCACAAATTTTTTATTTCTTTTAAAATCAAAAGGGAAAATGCATAAAATCCAACCTTAATTATATTTATCTTCACAGCAACGTAAGTCATAAATTACAATTTTTAAAATATTTTTTAAGGATGGAAATGTCCCACACAGACAATAGCATAAGGCAGATTGTGGCCCTGGTTGGTCCTGTACTTTTTATATACCTACTGAAGGCCCGTTAACTTACATACTCTCTCTATTCTTTCCAACAATTCAGGATATCAAGAATTAACAGTGTCTTCATTTTGTACATGTGAACACTGCCAGATCATGCAAAAAGGTTTTGAAATCATACAGAAGAAAAAGTATGGATTTTAGACACAATCATAGCTGGATTGGAATTTTAGCTCTTCCATTAACAACTATATGACAATGGGCCAGGTATAACATTCAAGGGTTAAAAAAATTAAGATATATGCAAAGAACTAGCACAGAATAAGAGGAAATAATGATATTACTATAATTATTACTAACCAGCTAGTGGTTGAATCAGCATTCCAACTCAGGTCCGCTACTTGGACTTTTTCTTTATGCCCATGGTGAGAATTTTTGGACCTATATGGCAAACAAAACTCCAAGAAATCCTACAGTTTGTGATTCCATCTTTTAAAAAAATGTACCATTTGCATAAAGTCATTCTATGCAAAATAGAAAAAAAGAAAAAAAAAAGAAAAGAAAAGAAAGCCACAGTGAATAATGCTGCAATGTCAATCTCCTTCCTCCCCAGCAAAAATCAACAATGTGACTTGGTAGTTTCAGTTTAAAAAACACAAGGCAAATTCATCACTTATTAAAAATGCTTTAATCCACTAAAGAAGCACCACCCTTGATTTACTTCCAGCAGAATTTTCATATACCTACCTTAGCAGCATCAGCTACATATCAGACCTTTTGCATCAGTTAAAGATTGCACTCTTTGATCTATCATACTCTCCTCGGTTCTTTACAATATTTTCACTACATAAAGAAGAAGCAGAATGTTAATCAACTACAACCCAGAATATTTACAATAAAAGTCTTTATCCATTAATACTTAGCTTATTGTTGTCCATAGCATTTTCTGGACTTTGAAAGCCGATGTTATACATTTTTTGTTGAGGATTTTAACAATAATTCAGCCCCTTAGAAAGGTATATTAGTGGACTACATAATCACACTTCTAAAGGTACTTGACAAGTCTACATAGCAGCACACAAATTATAATTTAAACAGCTCTTTTCAATTACCAACTGACATTGCAGCTGAAGATACTTAATACTAAAATTTACATCTGTGACAAGACCTCATGAACACTGTTAAGAGTGTTCTACTTAGAGACAATCCTGATAATATACTGAATTCTATACCCAAATTTGAAAAGTAGGAACATAGGCATGAGACCAGAGTTGTTTATTTTTTGGTACCAGGGATCGAACTCCAGTCCTTGTGCTTGCGCAGCAGGCAGTGAAACCACTGAGCTAAATCCCCGGCCCCCAGAGTTTATATTTTAATATATCATTTTTGCCTGCTATATATTTCCCCTTGTAGGAATCTTCTCTGAAATGATGGTAAGTTAGAGTGAGCAACAGCAAAGCAGAAAAAGGAGAAAACACCTATGACATTTCACAGGGAAAAAAGGAAAGAGGGAAGGAGGGATGAAGGAAGGAAAGAAGGGACGGAGGAAGGAAGGAAGGGAGGGAGGGAGGGAAGTAAAACCAGCAAAATGCATGCACACACCCCACATTTTACCCCTCCATTATCTGTGTCCACACAACAGTTTGGCTATTTTGGTCAATGTGCTGTTCTCTAAATTGTAGGAATCTCTGATCTTGAAGTCAGCATGTTCCAAAAAAAATTAATGTAGGGAATTTCCTGATCTCCGCACTCAGCTATTATATTAAGAATCATTTTTACTGTAAATTTGTGCTTTGGATGAAACTGGAAAGACTTAGAAGAAGAAATTTTCAAGATGTGTATGTGTGTACAAACTATATCATACAGCTTAGCAAGATCTCATTAAAGTTGAGCAGTACAAGCTGTAAACAACATTGCCAGCCAGCCTTTATAATTCAGATCTAGTTCTCTCCTCCCTAGTGTGCTCATTTGCCAAAACTGCATTAATAACTTCCATAAACATCACATTTCTCACCTTGGAATAAACTTATCCAGGTTAAATTGTTTCATAGACATAATACTGAAAGATATTTCAGAAATAATTTAGTCTACCTCTTTCCCCACTTGCTAAAGTTTCAATCCCCCTGTGATATGATCCTGAGAGATTACTCATCATCATGGTGCTTTACCCCTGAGACATACGAAGAAATAACAAAGAGCAACAGAGACACACGCTGAATCTTTAGGGATGCGAACAACCAAAAACAATAAAAAAAAATTCCACTAGTCGAGAGCATCTCGAATATCTGATTAAGCCACAGCCCAGAATTATACTTCCACTCCAATGAGAAGTGTTTAAATCAATTCTGAACCCATCCATGCTGATGACCCAGTGCTGTTGGAGCCTCCACTGCCAGGCCCAAGGCTGGGATTGAATTTCCCCAGACAGTTCACTCCTGCAGACAATAACAGTTGCCACATTCAAGTTTCATATGTTATAACACCCTGTGATTTAGACTCAAGTTCCACTCGTACAGCTGCCTGCCTTAGTGGGTAAATGAGAACAGAGAAGAGTTTAGGCCTCCAGATCCTTGTATATCTTAAGAGACAAACCCGCTGTCCTGGGGCCTCTTGAGAACCAAAGCTCCTACATTATTTTACCAGCCAAAACATCTGTGCTCAATATTCAAAAGAGGCTTTTCGCTGCATGTTGCAGACTCTCCTCAGATCATGGACATCAATTAAAGTAAAGGAGAATCCAAGACAGAACACATCTCAAATCCTATCTCTGCAAAGAAAGGGAGAGAAAAAAAAAATGCTTTTTATGTGTACCTAGACAACAAATCCCAGCAAGATAGCTTAAAGTCTTGTTCTAAGTACACAGATACAAATGAATTGCAGAAAAGTGGAAAATGGGTGAAAAAAAGATAAAGACTTTTGCAAAGATAAATTGGTAGGAGCTTTAACAGAGTGATACATTGTTAGTCGCAAGTACATTTTCACCTTTTAATTAGTGGGGTGCTAACGATTTTTGATATGCTAAAGAACCCACTGAGGACGCAGCCTTAACTACAGTGGGTCTTCAATAAATATGGATGGGCTGAACAGATAGTTTTTTAGCTACAAGTTGAATGTTCTTTATCTGAAATGTTTTGGACCAGAAGTATTTTAGTCTTTAAATTGCTTTCTGATTTTGAAATTTTTGCATATGTACAATCAGTGGAGCTCAAGTCTAAACACGGAAATTCACTTATGTTTCATAAGCCTTACACACATTGCCTGAAAGTAATTTCATACCATATTTTTAACAATTTGGGGCATAAAACAAACTTGTATACAGCAAAGCCTAAGAAAGCAACAGTGTCACTCTCTCAGTCACCCATGGGGACATCAGCGGTCATTTGGCATTACCATCACTTCTGACTCGGAATTTATATTCTGTCAATAAGCATTTTCTAAAATGTATTCCCATAAGTGTTTTGTTAAATCTAAAACACACCATTAGTTGAAAATATAATGTGTTCAGGTAACTAAGAAGTATTAATACATGACTTGTGGTATCACGTCAATACTCAGAAAGTTTCCATTTTGGAGCATTTCAAATCTTGGCTTTTTTGGAGTAGGGAAATTCAACCTGTACTTGTATTCATTATTTCTTCAACTTTTCTACAAAGGAAGTCAAATTCATTTGGGACTGTGGTCATGTTTTGTTCATTTTAGCAATCTAAAGCAAAAGGGTACAAATTATAAATGATTCAGCAAATATTTGGAGAACAAAATAGGGGCCTTCTGAAAATTATAAATTATATATAGTTTGTCAATTTGGGAAACTAAGCAAAAAAATGTTTTGGTATTACTCAATCTAGGCAATGAGAAACAATTTTTGACCAAATTCTTATATAGGTCCCTGAGTATAATATTCTGGAACATAACTGTCCAAATGATGTTCCTTTGAGAAAAATTTTAAATGTTATTTTTCATTCTCAGTCAGCCCCCAAAAGTAAATGATTTAGGATAAAACTGAGCATAGTTTCTAAAGACTTTATGAAGGTCTTGTTTAAAAAAAAATAAAGGTCAAAATAAATAAGAACATTCTCTTTCCCCTCTTCCTGTTCCTCTCCCTTCCACTCTCTGGCCAGACTGAAGTCCATAATTCCACATTCCATCTCGAACCCCAGATAAACAGAAGATTAACTTTCCAAGGAAACAGCTGTAAATAACTATAATCTAGTTAGTAGGATTCCTTTATGGCTTGAAAGGTTATAACAACAGGAGTCCTCAAATTTTTTTGATCAAAAACCTTAATTCCCTCCTGTAGGGAAGCAACAGGATGTCTTCTAAAGATCAAAAACAGGGTCATGTGTATAACATTTATATATATGAACTAGCAATAACCAGGATAAAGAATTTTAATCCTATGAAATTTAGGTACACAAAGACCGAAGAGACTCATAAATAAACATTCTCTAAGGAAAAGTGAGAGGAGAGGAAAGGTATCAAAATCAATTAATAGTCTATGTTGTAGGAGTGGCCCTCCTTCCCTAAAATATATAGCATCCAAAGACAACTGTGCTAATACATTAGGCTAAATTTAAAACAATTCAAAAAATGGAGAAATGGGAAAAATTTATTCGCCAAAAATTCTAGCTCAGGTTGAAGAACTAAAAAAAAAAATTGTGAAAATATGAGGTCTTAATGGACACTGATATTCTGGATATAAAAATATTAATTGTGCACTATTATGTACAAGGCACTGGCAAGACAACAACCATATGATAGGTTCAATTCCCATTGTTTAACATGAACTGCTTCTTTGGACACCTTTCCAGTGAGTGACGGTTTTGGTGGAAATGCTTGTTGCTTGGTAAAATCAAAAAGGGCATTCTGCAGAATTGGTCCATCCCTTAGGAACATCTGTATGGGTCACGCTGTGGCTGGAGAGCAAAAGCAGAGTGCACACAGGGAGAAAAGGGGTCTACAATGGGACATAACACTGTCATAGAAAATTGGTATATGCCCCAGAAGAAGACAGACATGGAAATTGCTTTCTTCTTAACAAGTACTTTATTTGGAAGAAAACATCTCTTATCCAATTATAATGAAGTATATATCTGTTATTTCAGCATTCACTGAGGCACTCATATATTGAGTGTTTTCATTTTCTGACCACCAACCGTGGAAGACATTCACAGTAAACCATACATGACACATGCAGGATGAAAGAATGTAAGTTATATGATGCCCGCTGACCTGAGCAATTAGTTTACACTTCAAAGCAAAGATGAGGGCTTTTCTCCTACTTCATGATTCCAGAAGAGTCTACTGCAGATCCAGGCAGCCTTAACGTCCACGGGGTTAATGCATCTCTAGGGAAAGACCACATGTAAACATTCTCAAAGGATCAGTTAGCTCCTGGAGAATATTAAGGAGATCCAGGCTGCTTTGGGACTATCAAGATTTCCCCCAAAGAGCCAATCAGAATCCCCTTAGGAAATCTACAAAAACAACTCTGTCCTTCAGAGACAAATGGATTGGGCACTCACCCAAGAACTTTGCTTGAGTTATACTTTGAACCGATCTCAAACTGTTATGGTGACTCGAATCCACTAGTGGTCATATTTGCCTAAAACAGTGGCCTCTAATTCCCAGAAAACCAGGTTCACTGAAGATGAAGCCCATTTTGATGTCCTTATCGGTGGCAGTCTAAAAACCAGTCCTGTCAGAAAAGGGGGCACAGCCATGCACTATCCATATTCCCTACACTTACTATTTAAGCCTAAATAACCTCTAAATGCAAAACCTGCACATTTCTATTCTGAATATCATCTGAGCCTTTTACCACTTTCAAAATATTACCAGTCTCTCTTCTCTTGCAGAAAACTCAACCATTAAGAAATTTAAGAGATACCATTTGTGTCTCTGATTTGCACCACCCCAAGCGACAGCACTTACTAACAGTTATTGTTGAGCAATTTTCTATCAATTTTCAAAGTTGCTAGCTATGGGACTTTGTATGAATTTCCTAGAATGTCATAAGGACTCTATAAGTATTTGAGAAATGAATGAATGAAGAATGAATGAACCTGGATGCTGCTAGAACACTATGAGATTCCACATAAGGAGTATAAGAAGGCCTGGGACTCAAGGCAAGCATTCCATAATTCTGGGCAAGTGCAGAATAGGCAGTGATGGTGGAGAAGGGAGTCAGTGGCTTAACAGTAACAAGTTTTCTTCTGGTTATTCCAATGTAATTTAAAAAAGCAATCAGATAGAAAATATTCCCTGATCAGGAGAAAACAAACATGAGTTGCTAATATTATGGTACCAGTAAGCATCCTGATTGCACTGGGCAATCCTCATAGGTGGGTGGGAAAATCTACCCTGGTACTAAATGCCTTCCATACACCATTAGATGTGGATAAAAACAGGATGAGATTTGAGGGAGAAAAAACAGCTTCACGGAATAACCATGGCAATAGGGAGTAGGTACAATTTTCTGCTTCTCAGTTATATTCAGAGTTACTAAATGGGGATTCCAAGTTAACTCCTGTAAAATACAACAGCCAAGGACGCTTTCACAGGCACCTCAGCAGCTGGCTCATTCCTATTACACTACATCAAGGGAAAATGGGCTTTTCCTCATACTCTGAATTTCTTCCCATTTCTATTAGCAGCAGCAGCCAGTCCAAGGCAAGTCACAAAACAGTTTTGGGATCTGGAGAGAGAAATTTTGCTTAAAGAGAATGACAGCTGAGTCAGTGCACTGATAAATTTTAAATATTAAGTCATATATATAAAAGAAAAACCTGTGGATAGCATCTGTTTCTTTCCTAAAAAAATACAAATAAAGAAAGTTTTCAGAATGAACCTGGGATGAATCAAACCATGAGACCAGACATTACTCCCATTATGCAAGACAGGTGAAAGTAACCATAATAAAAAAAAAAAAAGGAAAGGGGGAAGAATTTATTGAATTAGTGAAACCGTTAAAATCAACTCAACCCCCAAATATGAAAAAGATAATTCTCTTTCCATTAGAGAAGTTGAGTGGTGCCATAGAAGAAATTAGCCCTAAATGTTTCAGAAGTGTGGTTGGAAGTCAAGTTACATAAGAACATCCGGATGGTGATAAATCAGTGGAAGATACTATATGGCATAAAATCAAATTACATTTTGGGGACAGTTTAGTTCACTGGTATGTTTAATGCTTTGGATAGCACAGTGAGTAAAAGTGCTGAAATGAAGACTACTATGCAAAGCAGATCACTCAAAGAGAAAAATCAGACTGACATCAAAATCCTCATCAAACTAGTGCTAGGGCAGGAGCACTTTTTAAAAAGTGGCTTCTCATACCACTGGCCTGAAAAAATACTGTGTTTACAATGTTTTCCTTTGTTTCTGAATTCTTTGCTTGACTCAAGGGACTGCTCAAATTCAGGTATTTTTGTTTTATTTAATCATGCTCAATTAAGAATAAAGCCTGCCTAAATAAAAACTCACTACATAAAAATCTGCAATTATAGGAATAATTGCTCACAGTAATTTTTTTCCCCACAGTAATGGTTTTTAAAGATACCTCATACCTAGAAGCCAGGAAAAGCAAGATGGCCTTTCCTATAAAGAACTAAACAAAAGATGATAAACATATCTCTAGCTCTAATTAGGGCTATTTAGTAAACAACTGAAATAGCAGAACTCATAAATCTGCTAATAGCATGAGATTGAGGGAGGACACAGAACCATGAATAAGGGGTAAAAATGCAGGACACGCTGCTCTTCTCATACATCTGGACCCAAGAGAATGTTCCTTGTGCTATGTCCCCAGAGTGCTCTTACTTACTGATGATTGTTTTTATTACCCCTCCATCCAAAATAATTATTATCCATTAATGTGTAGACTTAAAATTCAAGGAGTGGTTTAAATGTGGTTTCCAATTTTATGATACAAGTCAATGGGAAAATAGCTCCCCGTATATTTACAGAAATTCACCAATCTTAAAGGAAAACAGTACCTCTACTCTACAAAGCAAAGCAAATCTGTTCAGAAGAGAACCAAGAATACTGTCTCAAAAATGGGCTATTCTAAGGGAGAAACCTAGGTTAAAAATTAGACATAATTTTGTCTTTAGAGGTTTTAGGTTTCAAGCACCTCAGTGCCTTACCAAAGAATACCACAAAGTCTCTATTTCTGGAAAAGTAAATTTAAGAGTTAACAACTGCCTTGTAGGTATGACTAGGGGTAATCTTATATGCACACACAAGAATCAACTAGATTATTTCTTATAGAAATTTCCCAAACCTATGAGTCAGTGCAGACTAAATGGATACACCAATTATGTTAGAGGTCACATTCATTTTCACCTATATCTCAACAAAATGAAAATAAGGAAACATGGATTCATTTTCTAAGTAAAATCATAATAACATACCAAACCCACCTAGCCAATGAACACATGTGAGATAATGCACATGATAATATGCACTTCTTTTGATGGAAAATAGGAAAGAAGTAAAAGTGGAAGCCTCTTGGCCTCCAAAGAAACCTGGAAGTTATTTCAGGACTCTCAGAAGACTTCTTGACCTACTTGTATGCTGGGAAAGGGGGGAAGGAAATGTGGCAGAAATAATATGTGGGGTTTTTAAAGACATAAAAATCAAGCATTTATGCTTGAAATCGTATCGATAACAGTGATGACGCTCTACGCAAATGTCATCAGTTTTCTCTTTGTCCTTGTCATGTGCCCTGTTAAGATATGATTACCGGGCCTCCCGCCTGGGGCTGCCACTCCTTATCACTGAGAAAACAATCCAGGCCACAGGAAATGCTAAGAGAAGACGACCGGACCCACAATGCACTAAAGTAAGGACTGCAGGCATTATGATGCCAGGGACCAGGCTGCAAACCAACATGCAAAAGGAAGCAATCAACACCAAACAAACTGGGAAGGCTACGCGATGTAACATGTGCAAGGAAGAAGCTGAAAACTCAAAATGACCCTCTACCTTGGCTCATGCATTAGTTTACTTAGAAATATCAGTTGGTAAGAAATTAGACAAACCAACCACTGTCCGGGAAGAGTGTTTAAATTCTACTTACTGTTTACATGGTCTGAATTAGTCTTTAAAATAACTAGATTTTATTTTTGTTTAAAAAAAATGTGAACTATACAGGCAGTGACCAGGCCCTCTGACATATTGACATACTGATTGTATTGACCTAATACATAATTAGGAGGCCCAGTCTAGTCACCCCAGTTGTATACTCATAGGCTGGAAGAGTATCTTCTCATAATTTTTCTTTTCTTCAAGTGATGTTCATCGCCTATTTATCCTGGTCTCTCTGCACTGACACTAATCTGCCTTGAAATTGGCTGATTCCGCTCGAGCCATGTTTACAGGAAAGTGAGTTTCATCAGGCCATCCTGTTCATAGACCAGTTTATGCTCCATAGCAGACAGATTATTAAAAACTATATATTATGTGCATACATTTTTAAATGACTCAATTTGGGAAAGATAACTGTATCATATCTGCATTTCATTGCCTGAGTTGTAGAAAGGGGCCAGGTAGCATTACAATCTTGAATGGAAGTTGTTTCCTAAATATATTATCCTCCATAAGAAGCATTTAGCAACTGTTAGTGCCCAGGAGACAAAAACTAAGGGGAAAAAATGAGTGTAATAATATATAGAAAGGGATGGGAAGAGAGAGGGGAAAGGCTCATTTAAATTATCAAGCTGAGCATTAACCACAAGGAGAGAAAAACAAATGTTCTATGTTTTGCACAAACATCAATTACATCTAGTAATTTAGCTGATTCCTCTCACTGAACAGGTGCTCTGGCTGCAGTGCAAAGTGAAAAGCGTGCACGCTATTCTGGCTTCTAAACAGGTACCAAGGGTCCTCAACTTGCTCTAAAAAAGACTTCCAACATATTCTGGCACTGCCGTTATTGACAGTTTAAGTTGAGCCCCTACCAGGTATGTGGCAGTGTAAGAGGGAAATGAAACCCAGAGACCTTCTATTTCACGAGGCAACAAACAGAATTTGGAGCAAACAGAATAAACTCAAAGAGAAATTATACAGATGAGCATAGGATTTAGTTATGTAAAGCCAACTGAATCATGCTTGACAAGGGAAAGCAGGATGACTGAATTAAGATAACCACAAACTCTAAATATCAGCAACAGATTTAACTTTCCCATAGACTAAGCCCAAAACTGTGAAAAGAAACAGAAGTCATTTCATTCTAATTCCCAGACCCCTTTCTATTCGTTTTTTTAAAGTGACTTCAATAAGTAGTAGGGAAAAGATATTATCAAGAGCCTTGGTACTATACACATGAATTAAGAAATTAAAAAATAAACTAAAAATTAACTATACACATAACCACATACCAGTAAAGACAATAAATACCCTTTGCCACAGTAGGTATTTACAAATAGTGGAATGAAGTGGAAATACATGGAGATTTTTCTGCACAGGGATAAAATGGTAGTAAATGAACCATCTACCAACTTGTTTCTCTGTGGCTTCACAATAAGACCTGGAGTAAAAAGATGTTGCTTGCCTATTTCTTTGTTATCTTATCTACTTTTTTTGGTACCGTGGATTGAACTTGGGACCTTGCGCTTGAGAGGCAGGCGCTGGAACCACTGAATTAAATCCCTGGGCCTTATCTACTTTTTTAAAAAAAGTTCCAGTAGAGAACTTCCTTCAACATGCTGTTTACTTTCTACTTTGGTCACTGATGTTGCTTTAGAAACAG